GAGAATGACTACGATTGAATCGGTATTTTTCCCTCCTGGGATATGGTTAGAAACAAGATCATGCTTTTAGTGTAAAAAGTGGCAAAATGAGTAATACCAGAAGTGAGCACTGAGAAGAGAAGCTTATAGAATTAGGTGGTTTCTCTGCCTAAGGCCTCTGTCAGCTGCAAAGATTCATACGGATTTCAGTGAACTTTAGTTAAAATCTCTATTGCATATTCCTAACTTTAAACACTGGAAGAAATGCTTCTCAGAAAGTATTTGTAGAAGTTTTTTGTTCAAGTTGTAGCAGAGAGTTTTACATTGATCCTCACATGTTCATAGAAGCAGGCAATACTAGCTATTAGAAGAGCCCTAAAAATGTAGTTAGGCTGCTATTGAAGTGTCATTCCTACAGGTAATTGTTCTGCAGTGGACATCTAATTAATAATTCAGCTGATGCACAAACCAGAAAGGAATTAGTCTCACATCCCTACGGTTGTGTTGGCTTTACAGTGCCAGGGAAAATGAGACAGCAGCAGAGTTTTTAGCTTGGTTCCACTTGTAAAACAATTATCTTGAGAAGTGAGGCATCAGTAGAAGCTTAAGTATGGATGCAGGAAACCAAGTAAAAATAGTGGTGGAATGAAGGCATGGACTGGGACTTGTGTGTGGAAGGAGTTTGAGGCTCTCCTGCAGACTTCCTGTGACTGCAAGTCATTCTAACAGTCTTACCCTTTCAGATCAAAAAAGCTGCTTCTACACCTTTTCTCTTGACCTCATCCCTGGGTGACGAATTTGTAGCTCATAAATTGCTCAATCACATTCATTCCATACGTTGGTTGGGACATTGTTGCGAGTGACAATGGACTGTGGTATTTTGGGGAGTGGCTTCATAGTCTGCAAGACTATGTATGTGTGGTAGGCTTTTCTGTCTCTAATGTCCTCGGGCTTCTTGTGCTTGTGGCAGCTGTATTCTGCTGTGGGACACGATGTTGTGACATCTCTTGGCTCTGGGTGGGTCCAGCCCTGCCGTGTGTTTACAAGACTTTGCGGAGCAGCTGGTCTCCAGTGTCTGGGCACAACGAGCCCCCTACCGACTCATGCATTTCTCTGCTTTCTGCACAAAACCAAATTTTATTCTGAGGAATCAAGAGGTTATAATTACATGTATCTTCTTTTCTGCTTTTTATAAACTTAAAGATAATTAGATTCAAGGTATTTTAAGTATCTGCTGGTTATCTTTAGATTTTCTCTAGAGCATCTGGAGCTTTCCAACTCTTATCAACTCAGATTCAAGCCTGTACTCCAGAAACAAATACCATGCAGTTTGTTTGTATGCTGTTTAGCTGCCAACCATTCCAACTGCCTGTGCACATGCAATCGCTAATTCCTGCTATCTCCAGGCTATATGCAGGCCATAACCAGTATGAAAATTCCAGGACATCAAATCTCTTCCTTGGCTTGCTGATGAAGTGCTTTCTGTCACAAAACAGAAGCTGATTTGTCTTTTAGATAAGTTGTTTTTTAAATGAAACTATTACAGAAATATACATCAGCTTTATTTTTGTAAAAATACAGTTATATTCCTGATCAGTGAGGAAGTCTGCAAATTAGCATCTCAGGTATTGGGAAGCTATTTTATGTCTTTTCCAAATGGTTACCTCACCCAAGTGTTCTGGGCACCACAATCAATTTCTGTGGTGCAAATTCAACTCTTCCTGTTTCATTACTGATTGAATTACTGAGATAATGTCTCTCCATTTCTGTTTGAAAGGCTTGGGAAGCGAAAACAGTGTACTATATATAGAGAAGATAAATAGCATGATGAGAAAAGCTCAGGCTGCCTTAGAAATTTGGCTAGAATGTACAAAGCTGCTTGTCTAAGTAGGGATGAAGGAGGGTCAAATGGAAGGAGGGTCCAAAGGAAGGTTATGATACTCTTAACATGAACAGTGTAGAGCAGGGGTTAGTTAAAAAGTTCAGTCTCCAGCATTTGGTAGAAAAGACCAAAAATAATGGAATAATAATCGTGTTTACATGCTTTTATCATCTTTCAACTTTATCCTGAATGGCTTTAATATTCCCTTTAATATATATATATATGTTAAGAGTCTTAGTTTCTGACTTTTTCTCTTCAATTGTTGCTATATTTTTAGTTTATTATGACATCTTTTCTGACTCCTAGCTTAGCTTAATTGTAGATTTTGGGAATAATTTCTTTGTGTTTGAACAAGCATTTTTGGATAGAGCTGAATAAACATATTTGGGGATTTTTTTAGAGTTTAGGGAAAAGCCAAATGAAACTAATTTTAAAGGCATTCGTAATGCTTTTCCCCTCATTTTACAATTATTCTTCTCTTTCTTCGTTCCCAGAGAGGCCATAGTTAATTTCATTTCTTTTGCATGGATTCTACATTTTTGGTTGATATGGTTGCATTCTGTTTACCAGCCTTGTTTTGCCAGGATGACTACTACCATTACAAACCTCTGAACAGCTTCAAGCAAGGGTTTTACAGTTGGGAGAATGGGAGATTGCCATAGAGTGTGTGGGACAGATACTTGATATAGGATACCCTTGCCAGATCTGGAAATATTAAAGAGGTACACAGTCATTTTTATATGCCTGCCTAAGCTGTATTGAGCGAATCTCAAGGTTTTCCAGAATGTATTAATTTTAACTATCTTCCTTCTGGTATCTTTGCAATACTCATCTTTAAAGCACATAATTTCCACAGAAGTCTCAGTAGGCACCCCAGTAAAGATTTTTAGCTTTTCTTTGTAAAGCTATGATTTATTTCTAAATACCTGCTCTGTTGGTAGGTAAAATGTCTGAGTGCACACTGCGTAATGTGTATGGTTTATTTATATCCTTCTTATGATTCTGTGGCTGCTTCCTCATTGCCAGTTACTGGTTTCAAATTATTAGGTTATTGTTTCCAGTAATTCATTCTTTGTATCTTTCTTAGTCATCCTCTGTGAAAGAGTGTTTAAAAATCACAGGCCCTTTTTGCGATGCAGGCCCTTCTTGTGCCCTATGGCAAGAATTCCAGGTAGTACAGCTGAAGAATGACAGCTGTTTTGTACGTCAGCTAATACTTAACTAAGAACGATGTATGAGGTTGAAACAGGTTTGATATTTGTTCCCTACAAAGGAATCACATTTGTACTGATTGGTTGCATTCCTTCTGTCAAAAGTAGTTCTGTTCACAGTGCCCCATGGTAGTTCTGAATTATGTTCTCAATGAATAAAACACATTTTTCTCTATTCTCTTTTATTTGCTAAAGGGAAGAAAATTATATTAACCTTTATGGGACTCAGTAGTGATGCAGAATACCATTAAACATTTTTGCTAGCATTTCATATTGAATAGCACCTCATATTTGAAGGGATTTCCTCCATAAAACAACTTGCTGGCAGTGGAAATTTCCTGAAAGCCACTGTATAACGTAGGTTGATGGTAAGTACCGGTAAGTTTCCATCCAAAAAATGTGTAGTGGAGAAATTGTACGTATTCTCAACAAAATACCTTTGCCGGAGAACAAGTACAGAAATTGACCTGTCATTAAGTGCAACAGTCTTTAATGTATATTACTCGCTTTTTTTTTTTATTACTTTAGGAAGTCTGAAATTATATTGTATGATTCTAATGATCTAATTCCTGTGTTCAAGTAAACACGTTACTTTGTTAGTAAGGGAAGTGTATTTTAAGGCAAAACACAAAATTGACATTCATGATGCTAAGATTTCTGCCATGCAAGGCAAGTACAAGATGTTAAACCAAATGTTTCTCTTTAAATCAAAAATCACTGAAATCATGGAACAATCTGCTCACAGTAGATTTGATAGGATACACCAGGTACTGAGTTATCAGGTTATCCCGCCATGAAATGCAGTGCTTGGGAATTGTCTTCGTACTCTTGCTCCATGACAAGCATCATTGTCAAGCCCTTTATGATCCTGGCAGTGATGAGTTAGATGGTTTTATCTGTGATTCTTGGATTGTCATAAAAAACTTTTTGGGTGTTAAATATTTATGTTGGAACTAAACAGACTCTGGCTTTCAGTTTAGAACATTTTTTGCAGCAAGGGCCAAGTGTTAGTATTGGGAATGGAAAGAAATACAGTGATGTCAAGGCACAAGAAACTCCCTATATTACGACTTGGTGGTATCAAAAAACTTTCTTTCTTCCCCTTCTTACTTGGCTATTTGCTTACAGGAAAAGCATAAACCAATAATGAACCTTTTTATTTTATCAAATATTTGCAAGTATTGTTGAGAATTTGTAATAATAGAGCAACACTCTGTCTGTTATTGAACAGTTTCCATCAAGTTATCACATTTCATGAAGTATGTGATAGGCTTCTGTTCTTCTGTTCTGGCTCGTAGAATATTTCTTTCTTATTTGAATGGAAATGAGAAGTTCTTGTGCATGTGTGCAACTGGCTGTTACGGAGTTGGCTGAAGACTGGATTGTGCCACTCTTCTCCTCAGTGCGTGGGACGATAGCTTCTATGCTGTCTGGGCATGGTATAAAGACTTCTGGAAATCTTTTCTGTCGAAAATAGTCTCAGTACTCATTGTTGGAGGAAATTAAGATGACACTGCATATAAAGAAGGTCTACTTGTGTAAAAAGCACATTTGGGGTCATAACAGAATTACTGATCTACTTGATCTCTTTCCTGACTAGTAGCTACAGAAGCTGCATTGTTAAGAGATTATTGGTATGACAGTTGTAATCAGGAAAGATAAATGCATTAGTGATATTTAGCATGTTCTTGCATTTTTGGTAACAAACTGTAAAAAACAGTAGGCTAACTTGAAATCCCTGAGTCTGTGAAACCTCTATTTCTTATTGCTTTTCTTCATGCAGAAGAACAAGGGAAGAATTGCTGAAGTAATAATTCAGAAAATCTTCAGGATTTAATCTTCTATAAAAGTCATGCTGTCCTCTGTTGTTATGTCTGAAGTCTGCAGTTGTAAGATCTTGGAAAAATAAATCTTATTTTATTTTGCAGAGCATTGGCTGTGATGACTATCTGGGTTCAGACAAGGTGATTGACAAGTGTGGAATATGTGGAGGGGACAACACCGCTTGCAAGGTTGTGTCTGGAGTTTTCAAACACACGCTAACAAATCTTGGCTATCACAAGATAGTGGAAATTCCTGAAGGAGCTACTAAAATCAACATTACCGAGATGTCAAAGAGCAACAACTATTTGGGTAAGTTGTATCTCAGTGAACAAAACATTCTTTGTGAGCTAGTGCAACTGGGTGGAGGGCTCTAAGTAGTGTGAAACAGATGTCAGAAAATGAAAAGGAAGCTCATTAAATGGGCATTTTGATCAGAACTAACTCACAGTTTATAATTCTGTCTTGAACTTGCATGTCAGACGCTGTGGATCTGTTACCATCATTCCCTGTCCATATGAACTGTTTTTGTCATTTCCTATTAGTTGACTTATTGTTGTGATTATGCTCCTCACATTGTAAACCTAGTCTGAACGTAGAAGGGTCCAGCAAAGGGGCATGCACATTGATGTGAAGTATATCAAAGTTCTTAGAGGAGAAAAGAGCATTTTCTGATTGCCTAAGAATGGCAGTTCTTTTAACATGAAAAGTACGCCGAAATTGTATTGAGATAATGTGACCTTGGGGTGGTATTCTCAGAACACAAGATTACTTATATAGTTGTTTATACTGAAGCAGGTTCTTAATGCAAAACCATAGAGGATCCTGGAATATTATATTGACATCATGGAGTCTTGCGATGTATTTCTCAAGCTGTATAGCATGCTGCAAATTAGAGATTATGTGGAAACTCCTGCAGATGTACTTCTGTCTTGTGTGCACTTGTGAACTGTTCTGTTTCCCTGTTATACCCTCACATGTTCCCAGTTTACAGAGCCCTTAGTTTGTTTACATTCGTGCTTCTGTTTGGGAGCCAATGTTGCTGACTGGTCTGGGAGAAAAGAGTCAGTTCAGATTTTTAATTCCCCCCCTCCCCACCACTTTAATTGCTGTTCATCTGTTAGTCCGTCCTTAGAGCTCTTTTAAGAATTACCATGGCAAAAAATAAAAATGTAGCTACACCAGACCTTTATTGCAAGCTCCATGTCCTTTTTACTAGAACTATCCAGATGTACTGGAAGTTTAAAATCCCAGAATTCTTTTTGACAGCTGCTTTATCTCACTTCTGGTTGTTAAGTATCTTGGCTACGACTCAAGTTGCTCAAGTATAAGAAAGTGAAGTGCTCATTATTGAATCCTCTCCCTCTCCTTCTCCTGTTTCTGTTGGTTTTACAGAAACATCTGCCTGTAGATGGGAGTTTATTACGGGAAGCAGAGTGTACTATAATGCAAACTCCATAAATTTACCAAAAATCTGACCCTTCAAAAGTGAAGAAATAATATAAGCCACACACAGTCCACAAATGACAAAAGTTCGAGACCACTTGTAGGGTGAACTGATTATCAGTCCTGATTTGTCATGGTTTCATTCAAATATCTTTTGGATGCAGTATACACCTGTACACATCAGCATTCATTTTTTCATGTGAACACTAACTTGTTGGATGATGAAAGCAAACAATTGTTCTGTCTAAAGAGCTTCTACAGACACTGTATTTGGTAGCAAATGGGTGAGAATGCAGCTTATTTGGCAGGCCAGTGAAAGTTGCTACATTACTGATCTATAAAATCATGAAACTGAATATAATTTTTTTGACAGATTTACATGTCAGTATCTGAAAAACAGCAGGCAGAAAAGTTCCCTTAGTGATATTAAAAATGTTCTGAGCCACATGAACATTTTTGGAATTGGCAGGACAGAAAAATAGTAACGTTTGCTTAAAAATAAAGACTGTTGGCATGTATGGGAAAGTTCCAAGGTTTTTCTTTCCCATGCTACTCCTTATCCCCTGAGCTCTTTGTTTATGCCATCGTCTTTTTTTTTCCCTTTTTTATCCATTACATATGTTTCATTTTAAAGCTGCTGGTATGGACTTAGTCTGCTAAATTTACCAGCTCCCTCCTGTTACGGATTCTTGGTGCTGCAGTTCCTTCCAGAAGGACTCCAGCCTCTCTGCTTACTCTATAACATTATAAACTCAGTTTGTCAAGGTGGGTGTAGTTGCTCCAGGACAGGAATGAACACAGATCAGAAAACTGAAACTAGAAAAAGGTCTACCAAGCATTGTAGCATTGCAGCAGTGAAATGGTAATTGCAAATTGTGTTTTTGGCCTATTAGTGGGCACACATTTCGCACTGATATGAAAGCATTCAAAATGTAGGCGTTGACAGTTTTATGGATCACAAAACCTTGGCACAGCTGGGAAAATTGACAACTCAGATCTGGTATTTACTGGTTTATCAATATTTATTGTAATAAGCAGAGGTCATGAATCTTCAAAATGGCAAATAGTCTTTAATTCTTCCTTATGCTGCAGCAACAACAAAAGTATCAGCCAAGCAGTCATTCCTTTAAGCATGCACTTGAGTGCTTTGCAAAACTGAAATTTCAGGTCCCTGTTCTGTCATAGTCCAACTGTAGCCATGAGAACTGCTTGTAAGCAGTATGCTTCTTGTGAAGAATATTAGTTCAGTTGTTTCTGTTTCTTTTTCCTTTCACTTTTTACATTTCATGGTTTATTCTATGCAAAATCATGAATCAGCTCAAGGTCACTCAATTTTTTTTTTTTGAAAGATGTCAGCAGATGTTCCTGGGAATCTGAGTTATCCTGCTTGTCTCTGTTCCGGAGACCATCTGAGTTCCACGTGGTTTCATTAAACAGTTTTTACACAGTTAAACACCTCTTCACTGCTTTGTTGAAAGTACTAAGCAATCAAGCAGCCAGGAAAGTGTGTTTTTCACTAGGAAGTATTTCAGATTTCTGTAAAATCAGGAGGTGCTAGAAAAAGCAGACAAAGAAAGTTTATGGTTTTGTTGTTGTTTTTAGAGTTTCAAACTCAACTAAGAGTCCTGAACACCTGAAAGTTTCTCCATACTGCATTTGTGAACTTTCCTCTTATAATCCGTTGGTCATTGTTGCAAAACCTGCAACCCTTGTAAAAAGTCTAGTTTTAGTGATGATGCTGAAAATGATGGAGATGGGCTGTCTCAGTGGATGTTCAAGCATATTTCATGTAACTTTACAACAGATGGTTTACAGAATCTACCAAATCGTAGATTTCTTGTGCATCTAGTGACCTATGCTATTTTAGATGAAGTATTTTTTCCCTGGAGACAGCTTGTATTTTTTGTTTGTCCAGTTTTGGTATTAACCAGCCTAAAAAATAGCTATTAACAACTATTCATAGTGCATTAATCAGTCTGTATATTTACTCTAGTAGTTTGAAGCAGAAGCTACATACATGTATTACAATGTAGGTTTACACTCCATAACATCTAAACAAGGCTATAGACTGTACAGTTCTGAGCTACTTTTGAGGAGCAAGTCATTCCATACATAGTTTTCAGCAATATTTTCTTCTTGGCTGATCTGTTAGACCTTTGGGCAACAACTGCTGACCTTAGACAGACTTTTCCATTGGCAAAGCACTTCGATCACATGCTAGTCTTGTATAGGAAAGAGACAAAGACATACTTTTTATCCCACTGGTAATCAACAGCTGGCCAGTTCTCATACACTGAAATGGGAAGTTTGCCATCAAGTTAAGTAGGGCCATGATACCTTAAGTGGGACCAGTAAGTTTCAGCACTTATGCTGCAAAACATGTTTTTTTAATAAATATTCTAGCATCTTTGGGATTGCTATTTGGGTAATGGCAAAAATGTAAATCCAAATAATATGAACCTGTTGTCATTATTTAGAAAGTGCTTTTTTGTATGGTGGGTGTTGTGAATCTAATTTAAAGATGCTGATTGTTACTCATAGCTGTAGCCTTAACAGCAAGAGCACACAATGGGAAGGAGGTAGAAACAGTAAAAAATGAAAATTAGCCTAATCAAAGAATGAAAGATATGGTGGTTGAAAATGAAGTGTTTGGAAATACGGTGACCATGTGTAGTGAACTTACTATGATCAGAAAGAATCTGGTAGTTTCTGACTCTGCGGACTTGTGACTCTGAAATGCAGTTCTCGAAAAGTACCAACTGTTTGCCATCATTAGCAGTAAACGATTATGAGACCTTATGGAAGGGAAAGTTTATATATTAGAGCTTTGGCAGGTCTCTTAACATTTTGTGCCCTACATGAATGCTATGTACTGCAGAGATATTTTATGGGGAAATTTATATAACTGCTAATTGTAAAGCTTTTTTTGGTTCCTTCATGGTATGTAATTGTGTATTTCGATTTTGTTTTTATGGCATTAAGTTATTTCATTTATTAAATAAGATTAGATCTTTGAATCTAATCTGTTTTCCATGCTTTCTGTAAAAATGATTCTTGGCTTTCTAGCACCTCCTCTTAGCATATGCCAGGATACAGTATTCGTGACTGAAATAAGAGGTATACGTTATTGTTTGTTGGTTTTTGATTAAGTAGAAGACCAAGAGATTTTAATGATGTTCTTGTGAATATTAGTCTGAACCTGAATATGGATTTAAGGAATTAGTCATATGAAAACAACAGTGGCTGATACTAAAGGGACTGTGAAAATCTTATCTGAAAAATATTTTGATTCAGAATCCCCTGCAGCACAGACAACATTCAAACAGCATGGCTCATGATGAAATACCATTAGCATCTCTTGAGCTTAAAATAACATTTTGAAATCAATTTAGGGATTCAAATTTCCAGCAAATAAAGGAGTTGGATTAGAACATGGGGAGAGAATTTAGAACATAAGCATTGTTAGAGGCTCCACTGTATCGCATGTGGTCATATGAAAAGTTTTATAATTTATATGTAATCACTCATGACAAAGCCATTGATTTGCTTGATGTGGTGCTATTTAGATCAATTGCTACACTTAATTATTGATTTTATTTAATTGGTCTTACTGAATATTATTATTTTGGTCTTATTAGTCTTACGTTATTCTACTTTGCAAGACAATAATGAGGTTGCTGTGCAAAAACATTGCAACAGATACATTACAGTAATATAGAGAAGAGAGGTCATGCATATGAATTTTCAGGGTTAGGAATTAATGTGCAAGAATATGCAAGAGAAAAGGTTTTGTTTGGTTGTTTTTTTCCTCGGTTACCATATATACAAGAGATCGGTATGCAGAAAACTTCTATATTACAGTGCTT